GCCAGGACGCACAGCCTTTGTCCCCAAGAGATGGCACGAAAGAATTCAAAAATTACCGACGAAATAACGAAAACCACTAAATTGCAGAATTTTCACAATTTCAAAACGTTTCCTCAGGGCGTTCCATGATTTCAACCTCCAGGGCCGGAAGCCGAGGAAAGCTACACGATAAACACGATGTTGACAGAACCGAAAATCTACGCAAACCGCTGAACAAACGAATAAATCTTCCATGATTCGGAGCTTCCAAAACCGAAAATCGAGGAATAGTTCACAAAATTGAAGTCCAGAACGACGGCTGTCTGATTTTTATTTATTTACATTTTTTTTCCTCGCAACTGTTTGTCCCTGGTCGGCTACCGGCAAGCTGCGGGCGCCGTCTCTCAGGCGCGCAGCGGCATGCGGCTTTCAGCCACAGGCTACACATGGCGCGCGTCCGCCAGCAGGTCTGCCAGCGGCGGCTTTTTATGTTTTTCTCTCTCTCCGATTTTGCTTCATTCTCGAAGCCTCCAGATCACAATTGAAGCCATAAAACTCGGCACTTGTGCTCCATCCTGAATCCTGAGCAGTCGATTCTAACACTGCGACCCCGAACATGAAATGAATATGATTGCTGAAGTCAACCACGCGATCAGACTCTATACAACGGAATCCCGAAAAGAATCTCTTGAGACCCGGGACCGTGACAGAACAAACAAGCTAGGAATACAACTCACCGAGCCCCGCTACAGCCAGGACAAGAGCGGCAGACCCCTTTAAGGACGGCAAAAACCCTGACCGAGTGAGCTCGGCTTGTGAGAGGCTGATGTGCCAGGCGGAAAACCCAGGCTCTAAGAGGAAACCTAGAAAGGGAATACAAGGCTGCAAGGAGCTGCTGGTTAGCTCGCACCCAATTCCACCATGGCAGGGGCAAGGGCGTGGTCTCGAGGCTCGATTCAAGGCTCGACTCAGGCTGTTGCCGCAACACCGCTCTAGCATTCTCCCACTGTAACGTCGTGGACAAGGACTGCAGCAGCCTGTCGGTTTCCAGAGCTGCTCCTTCGCCTGTGCGGGCGCACCTGTTCCAATGCCTGCCAGACCTGCTTCGCCGCGGGGCCCCAGCCAGAGATGGTCTCTCCTTCGGGCTTCATAGTCCATGGTGGCTTGTCTCCAGCAGCGGCGGTGGTAGCCAAACAGCCTGGCCGCATCCCACTGATAACTGCGAGGTCAAGGGCTGCAGGCCGCTTGGAGTCCCAGTTGCCAATGAAGACCTCAGCAGCTCCAGCCTCGTCCAAACGCGGAGGGAACAAGCCTGGCTTCTCCACCTCAGTGTGCAAGCCTGCCGTCTTGGCCCTGCTGGCAACTACGGCCCGGAGCCGATGGTGCCGCATGGTACGGTCTCCACCGCATGGGCAGCGGCGGGCGTGGTCTCCAAAGCAGTCCGCCGCACCATCGCACAGTGGGCGGTGTCCAGCTGCCGGGGAGACGGTGGGCCCGCAGCCAATGCCGACAAAGCTGCTCGGTCCAGCGCCTTCGACAGCTCTCGCTGTCGTAGAGTAGGCGGCACTGGAGCGGCAACCCGGTCAGTGGGCAGCACCGCATTGTTGTAGAGGGTCAACGCGGCATCAGTGAATCCACAAGAGCCCTGGTAGGCAGCGTCCAGCTGTAAAATGATATTTTTTGGTTTTTGCGGGATGCGGTTTCCGCATTTTTTCCGTAAGTTTTCATGGCTTTAAACTTCCGAAGCCAAAGAAACAGAGCCGACAATTCAGGAAAACTGCGAAATAATCCATGAAAAATCAAGTGTATGTTTGCGGTTGTTATCTTAATTTGTTGTTGTTGTTGTTGTTGTGGTGCTCGTGGTTTCTTGTGGTTTCCTGTGTTTTCCATCCGCATTTTTGTTGTTGGAGTTTTTATGGTTCTGCCGAAATCTTATGGTGTTGAAGGCACAAAACCGAAAATCCACGAAACAGTCTGCCCTTTCCTTTGGAAACTGAGTTGGTGCCTTCTTTCTTGCAGGTGTATCAGCGGTGTGATGAAATTGTACTGCGCCGAGATGCTGGGACATGATGGGACATGTATCGTGTAGAAGGCAGCGTGCGCCGAATGCGCACAGAATCACGCAAAGCCCAAAATTCCTGCATAATTTCTGGGACAATGCCGAAACCGTTCTTAGACCTGGGATTCGTCTGCGCCTGGCACAGCCGGGGGGAGGGGGGGAGGCGGGAAAATCATTTCTGCATTTTCTGGCTCTTCCCACAGGCCTGCAAAGAATATGCCGAATGTGCGCTGGGACATGGTTTTTTCTTCTTTCTTTTTTCATGGGTTTCAGCTGTTTGTGCCTGGCAAAGTCGCTGTGAGGGTTTTCCAAGTAACCTCTGGCAGAGGCAGCCGCGTGGTCCGTGCCCGGCACTGAGGATGCAAAAATGTCAGGTTTACTGAAGCTTTGTTGCGAGGAGCTGCAACGTCCCATCCTTGTCGCTGGATCAAACGTGTGACCTTTCGACGTGTTGGCGAGGAGTTTGCTAGGTCGCAGCTTGCCGCCGGGTGTTGTGGCTGGTGGATCACGGTTGTGATGCTGCGGGCCACGGGCAGCCAAATGCTGTTCTTGCGACCACTTGCTGGACCGCCGGACGAAAGTGGCAGGGACTGCTGGGGGAACCGGGGACTCCCATAAATATCTCCCCGCAACGGTATGCGCAACGGGCAAGGGCCAGGGGCGCCGCAGGAGAATGCGGAAATGGGCACTGGATGGCACTGGGGATGACGAGGGTCGGCAAAACGAGGTGGGCCGTGTCAAGTCACGACCAGGGCTGCAGCGCAGCGGGCAGCAACTCAGCAACGTGCGTCTGAGATGCGTGCTCACAGCCGGGCCCATACGTTGTAATGCGACCTTGGTGTCCCTTCCTAGCAGGACGGGTCTCCCAGGTCCAGAGGCCGACAGCCTTGCCGAACAGAAAGCGGAACACTGCTCACCTCTGCAATCTTTGGTGCTGGGAACCAAAGGAAAGGGGAGGCGGTTGCTGGTCCGCCTCCGGGCCCAGCAGGCGGCCTCGCTCCGCACACGCTGGCCGGTATGTGCCGTCGCCCGCAATTGCGGCGGGGGTTGGGCTAGAACCAGTTCTGGATTGAATGCTGGCCGAGCCGAAACGAAGGGAGTGAGTGCAATGAAATAATTATGTGAACTGAATGAAAGAAGTGAATGAAGCGCACGTAATCAATTCATTAGGCTCACGACAAGGATTTTGGAAGAGGAAATCATTTG